AGGATGACCCTGAGGGTCTGACTGTCGAGCAGGTGCTGCGGATGCTGGAGAAGCGATTCGTCGATCAGAACGAGGCTTCTGACGCTCGCTACAAGCTCCAACACGCTCGGCAACTGACCAACCAATCAGTCCTGGCCTTCTCTAACTACCGGGATGAGCTCGCCGCCACCCCAGGGCTGGAGGATCTGCGTACTCAGGTCAACATGTTTGAGCGTTTCTGGACTGGCATGCACCCCAGTCTGCAGTCTCTATTGCTGACAGCCAAGCCAGGCCTTAAGACCAAGGACCAGGCACTTGAGCTGGCTCTCGACCTTGAGCGCAGCCTGCAGCGGCAGCACCGCCGCACCGTCACTGGTACCAAGGCGGGTCTCAATGAGATAGGTGTTGAGGTCACCGACCCCTGGGCAGCTTCTGCCCCGGGTGCACAGGCCTCTGGCATTGCCCCTGGCAGCACGCACGCCTCTCAGCCCTCACTGAGTGAGATGGCCTCTGCTGCTGCGCTGGCAGCGGTGCGGGCTTGGGAGCAGCGGCGGCCCCAGCGGCCTGCGGCCCCAACCCCTGGCACCCAGCCGGTGGCAGGCAGGGATGGCAAGTTGCTATCCAACGTACAGTGCTGGCAGTGCCGCCAGTGGGGCCACTACAAGAGTAGGTGCCCGAAGGGTAGGGTTCAGCCGGGAAACGGCTGAGCTCGGCAACACAGAGGCAAGGGGTTGCCGGGCCGCCCCTAGAGGCCCTTGTCGGAGACGAACAGTCTCTGGAAGACAGTCAGTCTTCGTTCTCTGCTGCTATTGTGTCAGCAGAGGGTAGGCCGGTACACGGCGGCGCACACACTGCCGGCGCCGAGTACGAGCCAGATGCGCTCAGGGGACGCCCGCACAGCGCGTCTGCGCTCAGCTCAGGGAGCGCAGTCGGCCCTGCTGTTTCCTTAAGGGCGGGGGCAGATTCAGTGGTTTCCACGCCCGCTAAGCCGCATGATGAGGCACTTGCCTCTCTCTATACCGGAGGGGGCGGTGGCTGCGCTGACCGATCTCAGCCAGAAGTGCAACAGCAGGAGGTCCGTTGGGGAGACGGCAGGACCCCGGCTCTGCAGTTGCAGAGTGAAGCCGTGAGAGTGCACTCCGTTGGTGTGGCAGACCAGCCTCCACCCGACCAGTTGGCCGCTGGTGGCCAGGGGGAGGGAAACTGCGACGAGGCAGGCAACGGCCTCAGCCCCAGCCAGTTGGCCGATACGGTCAGGCTGGCGGCAGAAACTGACCAACGTGTGGCAGATGGACACCCCGCCGCGGGTGAGCCTAGCCAGCGCCTTGTTGGGCGCTGTGGACCACGCCGCGCGGAGTACCGACCTACAGTCCGCCGCTCGCTGGTGTTTCCAGCTATGATCGGAGCGGTGCCTGCCCGTGCGCTGCTGGACAGCGGCGCTGAGGCGTTGTTTGTTTCACAGGCGTTTGTGAAACTGCATGGGCTGGCCACCCGGCCAGCCAGACAGCCACTGAGTGTGGTGATGGCAGATGGCTCCACTTAGACTGCTGGAGAGGCAGTGAAAGGGATCCTGCGCATCGACGGTTTTGCTTACGCTGACTGGGAGGTGCTAGTGGTGCCCTTGGCAAAGGACCATGACATTGTCATTGGTATGCCTTGGCTGCATTACCACGAACCCCACATCAACTGGCGCAATGGCACGATGACCATCGCCACTGATGCTGGTGCCCTTGTGCTCAGATCCACCGCGACTAAGCAAAGGGGGCATGCAGACCTCCGGCTCATGTCGGCGTTCCGGTTCAGGCAGAACTTGAAGAAGCAAGCCATTGAGGAAGCTTTCCTCGTGCTCATTTCTGCTCCAACAGCAGAGACCGCCCGCCACGCGGATCAACTCTCTGACTTTGCCCGCGGCAAGATAGCCGACTGGGAAAGCAGGTTTGCTGAGGTGTTCCAGGAGACACCGCCGCTGGCAGGCACCACCCAGACCAGGGTGAAGCACCAGATCCATCTGATCCCTGGTGCCACTCCACCCCCGTCCCGGCAGCCTTATCGGTTGTCACCGGCGAAGAGGATGGAGCTGCAGAAGCAGCTCGCTAAACTGCTTGAGTTGGGTCACATACGTCCCAGCACCTCGCCTTACGGCGCCCCGGTACTTTTTGTCCGCAAAAAGACAGCCGACCCACAGTCTGGAGCCCCAGAGTGGCGCATGTGCATCGATTACCGCGACCTCAATAAAATTACGGTCAAGGATCGATACCCCATGCCCCGAGTCGACGACCTGCTCGACCGGCTGCAGGGGGCGCGCTTCTTCACCGCTCTGGACCTTACGAATGCGTATGGTCAGGTGCCGATGGAGGAGAGCAGTGTGGAGCGCACCGCTTTTCGCACGCAGTTTGGTCACTATGAGTATCTGGTGATGCCATTTGGCCTTTGCACAGCGCCGCAGACCTTCCAGAGGCTCGTCGCTGAGACTTTGCAGTCCCTCGGCAATAAGCAGTGGGACAATTTCCTGGATGACTTGATCATCTGGGGCCGCACAAAGGCAGAACATGCTGCCAATGTGGAAGTTGTGATGGAAAAACTTGCTTGTGTGCTTGTGTGGGCTTAAAGTCTGGTGAAGCAAGAACTAGATTGCAACATAGACTTCCCGCCGAAACGGGACGGGGGGCGGGCGAAAGCAGCCATGAAATTCAAAAGGAATATTGTGAACTTAAACAAAGTGTTGAAACTGTTGCTGGTGAGATTAGAGCTGGCCGGGCGTCGGTTGCTCATTTGCGGGTGGTAACCATCGAATTGCTTGCGCTGCAGGCATGTATGGTGTTTGCAATTGTGTTTGTTAGCACCGCTCCACGCCTCTCGGCGCCGTCCTCGATGCCAGCGCCTGGAGCAGAATACAATCGCAATGGTACTGCCGCCCTGCAAAAATGGAAATCTAGTATTCTTAAAAACATGTTTGAACTGTATACGGCTTCCGAGAAGGCGGTGTACCATTCCGACGTCGGTCAGGAAACCAGCATAGCACGGTGCGGCACAAGCGTCAAATAGATATAGCCATGCATACTCTTGTATTAGCTTCTTTTATCACTTTCTGCTCTCTCTGCCGCAGGGTGGAACCTGCCAGCTTCCACCGCTTTGACCTCTTCAACCCGATCATCGATTGCCCGACCGGTAAATTGTTACGCATCGGCGCTTCCGGGGAAGGCGGGAAATGGCTTTGTTTGGAGGAGTTACAGCGACATTCAGAGTGTATCGTGTACAGCGTGGGGTCGTTTGGAAACTTTGACTTCGAGGAAGCGATATTGCGAGAAACAAACTGCAGCGTGCACACATTCGACTGCAACTCTGAAGCACATACCATTATTGGTGGCCGCCACGAATTCCACCCCATATGGTGAGCGTATTGGACCTGGGGGAGTTTGGTATGTTCCGCCCTGCTTAACACTTGACATGTGCTGTACCCTAAACCCTCCGAGAGGGCACAGGTTCGATTCCTCCCATGTCGAAACTTTGTGAGGACAAACGCGGCATAGCTGACCGGCTCAGCGCCAATCCAAGCCAATTCCTTCGGGAACGCCTAATAGAATCGCCAAGGCTTCGGCACAGGCCTCCCCGGGACCCATTCACTACTAGTGGGGGGTACTGCACTTGGCGCGTCGGGCAGATCAAATAATGGTCTAAAGCTAGACGTTAAAACCGGGAAGTGAAGCTTGTGGAGGCTCTTCCCCACCTTTACCTTTAGGCCGCGGCTAAGAAAGGCCTTCTTTGAAGGCGCTGGAGCTAGTGTCTAAACCCTCCGAGAGGGCACAGGTTCGATTCCTCCCATGTCGAAACTTTGTGAGGACAAACGCGGCATAGCTGACCGGCTCAGCGCCAATCCAAGCCAATTCCTTCGGGAACGCCTAATAGAATCGCCAAGGCTTCGGCACAGGCCTCCCCGGGACCCATTCACTACTAGTGGGGGGTACTGCACTTGGCGCGTCGGGCAGATCAAATAATGGTCTAAAGCTAGACGTTAAAACCGGGAAGTGAAGCTTGTGGAGGCTCTTCCCCACCTTAAGTATGCATTCCTATTCAGTTTAGGAAACACAAATGAAGCGAGGTCTGGACGTAAGACTTTTGAAACGCTGGCCAGCATCATATCGGACCTGGAACACACTCATGTTGACCTTCTCAAGGTATTGACCTGAAACGCTTGCCGTTCTGGCCCCGCACCCAGTCTATGTTGCAAGCTAGTTCTTGCTTTACCAGACTTTAAGCCCACACAAGCACCCACTCCAACAGCCCCTTGTTCCCGTTTTGCCGTAGATGGATATCGAAGGATTTGAGTATGAGGTTCTGTCAGGTTTTGATCTGGCCAACACATGTGGATTTCCCACACAGATTTCAATTGAAATACATTGGAAGGTGTGTGTGGGTGTGGGTGTCTCGAATACATGGACACCCTATGGCAACCTTGCAAGGTTGGCTTGGTCCTCACCTTTCCCCACATCCCCCATTCTGCAGCGCCTGTATGATCTCACCAACTTCCTCGGGGACAGAAACAACTGGGAGAGCATGTTGTGGCCAATGCATGAAGTCAGCCTCGCCGAGCTGGCTGTCGTATTCTCGCATCTCGCTGACCTGGGTTATGCGGTCGTAAGCCGAGAGGACAACCCATTGGTGAGGGTGTTGAAATGCGCTACTAGCCATGCAAATACACCATTGACAAACGAACACAACAACAATGTGCAGGCCGCCCGGTATGATGGGTGCGCGGCAGAGTTCACGCTTATTCGCGTTCAGCAACCGCACACATGCGGCGGCATTAGTTGAGAGGGTTTGAACATATTGTAGCGCACCTGAGCATATCGTTGTTGATCGTATGAGCAGTCTTGCGGCACGCGTGCTTGCAAACAAACGGCACGCGTGCTTGCTGTAAAGCCCTCGCAAGCACCAATGGTTTACATCCGTAAGCTAACAAGCCACTATAGAAGTAGGTGGGGCTGAAATGGCAGCATGCAAAGCAGGGCAGCGTCCTCTGCTTATCGAAAACAACCCTCCTCTCTACACTTCCACAACCGCGCCTGGTCCTCAGAATTGTACAGAAAAGATATCTCGCACTCGGCGGCAATCATCGCTTGCTCCAGCCCGCTCACCAACTGCGGGGCAGGGTGGCAAAGCAACAACAACGTTGACTTCATAGGAGCAGCGCCAGCGCCAGACTGTGCACGACATCACCACTATCACCACCGGCCCACCTCATGCAGCGCCTCAGGCACCAGCCAGACCAGTGCCGCGCAGGGCGTCAGCAGCAGCACATAATCAGCTGGCAGCATGCCCCGGTGCTTGTGCCACACCGACGCCCCGAAAAAGGGGTATGCGTGGCTCGGTGGCTGCTCCTGCTGTGCACGGTGCTCTTGCAGCTGCTCCTGCTGTTGTTGTTGCTGCTGCTGGCGGTCAGCCTCCCGCTGCAGGGCGTGCCTTGCACCGCTGCCTGCGCTGCCGCCCTGCCTGACGCCACCCGCCCCAACGCCGTCAACCAGCGCCATGCGCTGGAACAGCTGGTGAGCAGTCTCCAAATCGGGTGGCGGTCCACAGTCGGCCAGCAGCCCGCGCTGCAGATACTGCATGTATGCCCGGAACTGCGACTCGTCCAGCTGGGCTGCCTGCACTAGGGATGAGATGCAACAGGCAAGGGTCAGCAGCGGCACGGCATCATCTACACAAACACATGCACAGAGAGCGGCATGACTGCCCAGGGAGGAAGTGAGCGAGTGGGCCAAGACCGAGGCCCTCCAAGTCTTCTCAGCCCATCTTGCCTCGTTGATTGACAGCGGAAAGGCAGAGACGCTGCCCAGGCGGCTGAGCTGGCGCGGCGCCCAGTCTGCCCATTCGGGCGGCAACGGCAGCCCCGGCATGCTGCGAGTACCACCCCCCACGCCGTAACACAGCTTCGCTGCGGCAGCAGGGCGGGACAGGCAGGAAGGGACGGGAGCGGTTGGAGAGCAAGAAAGGAGGAGGGAAGCAGGTGCAGTGCAGCGGCAGCTGTAGCCCCGCCCACCTGCTACCACCAGGGATGCCATGAGTAGCGCCCAAGGGTGCCGCCCGGGCCGCTCTCCCTCGGTGGGCACCAGCGGCGCCGGCTGGTACAGGGCATGCAGCTGCAGCGCCACCGGAAGCAGCTCCTGCGGCCAACAAGAGGTTGCGGCACAAGCCCTTCGCACGTCGCCCATGCCAACAGGCAGGCAGTGATGCAGGCAATTGTGAGATGCCTGTCTGTCTGTCTGTTACACCCATAAGGAGCAAATGAATGCTACGGGCCCAGCTGTGGTGCAGCAGCTGGAAAGCCACGTCCGCCTGTTGAGCTGCCCCCAGCACACCTGCGACAGCTCCAGGTCAGCAAGGTATCTGGCCAGCCACAGCGCGGGGCTCAGCGGCGGGCAGGCCAGGCCCAGACGCTTCCCCATGGTGGAGGCATTCAGGAGGAGGGCCTTGGGCGAGGGCACGCCTGCGGGGAGGGCGCCACAGCGAGGCGCGTAAGGCGGGAAGCAGCGGGGGTGCAGCGAGGGCCACACAAACACTGCTTGCCTCAAATCCACCAGCTGCACAGCAACCTCCAGCTGCGCCCGCCACCGCCCGCCCTCCCTACCTCGCACGGCGATGAGCTCCCCTCCCAGGATGTTGCGGTACTGCTGCAGCACCGCCCCCTCCTCCGCCGCAAACGCCACATACGGCAGCCGCCCATCCAGCGCCCACCGAAGCACGTCCAGAGGGCCCGCCGCCTCCAGCTGGCACCAGCAGGCCAGCAGCAGCAGCGCCAGGGTGTGGCGCGGGTGCAGGGCCTGCGAAGTAAGGCAGCGAGCCGGGGCAGCAGCGGCGCACGGCCTGCTGGGTGGGTGACCACCGGCCGCAGCCCGCACCTCACCCAGCAACCAGGTACCCCAGCAAGGCGAGCAACGCAGCCACCAAGGCAACTCCAGCGCAGCGCAGGCTGGCAGCTGCCACACCGGCGCCAGCTCTGCTTGGATGCGCAGCGACCGCCGCCCAAACGTCATCTGGCCAGGCATGGCGCCGCCGCCGCTGCCACCGCCGTCGATGCCGCCATCCTCGCCCTCGCTGCCGTCGGTGGCGGCGGGCGCGCCGCCGCCTGGCCCTGCCAGCACCTCGAGCTTGCTGCAGGAAGAGCAGCAGGCACGGCATGGGAGGGCAGACATGTTGGGTGACAAGTGTCAGGCTCAAGAACAAGGGCCTCCCAGGGCAACCGTCAAGCACACGCGTACACAGCACACCGACATCAGCGGTACCCCACTCCAGCCGCGCAGTGGGGCGAGGGCTCACAGAATAGTGGCGGGCTCCAGCAGCCGGCTGTGCGCCAGGTGGGCCAGCCACAGCTGGCGCAGCACCCCCGACAGCCCTGGGTCCATACCGAGTGTGGCAATCAGCACCTGCGCCTGGCGCTGCAGGGAAAGAGCAGATGGAACGGGGTTGCAGCGGTGGCAGCAATGGCCATCGGCATGCGCAAGAGCAAGGACGCGTCAGCACGTTGCTCTGCGACAGCCACCCGGCGGCACAGCTGTGCCCATGGCTCGGCCCCTGGCCCCCTCCTCACCTGCAGAAGCTGCTGGAGGGCCCCCACATACGCCCGCACTGCGGCTTCCACCGGCGGCGGCGGCGGCGGCTCCGCCTCGGCGGCGGCGGCATCCTTTGCTTTGGCCTTCATCCCCTCCGACTTCCTGCCGGTGGAGGCATGTGGCAAGGGATTGGTGGGAAGGGAAAGAACATGCAGAGCGCGGTGGATGACTGTATGCACGCCACTAAGCAGAGCGTCCTGGCCCTCTTGTTGCAGCAACGAGCTAACAACGAGGCGGCCGGCAGCATGCCGGCATCAGGGCAAAAAGCGCGGGGCCGCACTTGAAGAAGCGCGCATCGCTGATGCCTGTCTGGTACTCCTGAGTCTCCTCCGCAAAGCCCTGCGGCAGCAGTGGAGGCGACTAGACGTCGCGCGTGCTTGTTTGTGCACAGCAGGCGCAGGCCCAGAGCCCAGCCCCCGAGCAGGCAGGTGGCAGGGGGTGCGGGTTCGGCAGGCGCTGGCAAAGCAGCCGCTGAGGACGGTACGCTTCCCCCTGCACCATCCCATCCGGCAGCTGCTTTTCGGCCTGCAGACAGCGCTGCGCACCTGGTGTATGCTGCCGCACACGTCGCACACCAGCATGCCCTCGTGCAGCTGCAGGTTGCCCGTCCAGCAGGCGGTGCACAGCTCGCCCTCCATGCTGGCTCGCCCGTTACCGAGTGCACAGCCGGCCTGGCGACGGGCTGGCAAGGCCTACAGCCGGGCACAGACGATGCCCTGCACGCAGCAAGGGAGCAGGGTTCGGTACCAGGGCAGGCCTGCAGGAAACAACCAGGCACGGGCGCAGGGGGCCGCCAGGCAGAAGGCGGTGGCGGCGGGAGGCGGGCGGCGGGGAGCGGCAGGTGCCAGGCCGCGCACCGTGTTGGATTTTGAGCCTGCAATTACTTTGGCGCACACTCCTGGGCTGCTCCCGCGCTGTGTGCTCTAACTCACTCAACTGTAGAGCCCTTCTCGTGCTCACCCTCTCACAATTGCGCCCAGACGGTATGGACGATATTGGGGATGAGGAGGCAGCTCCAAAGCGCTCCAGCTTGGTGCAAACATCAGCCCACGTGGCAGTCGAATGAAAACGCCCAACACCCACACGTGGGCGCCTGCAACAATCCCACTGTGCATTGCATCTGCTGGCTGCCTCACCGGGCTGGGATATGGCGACCACCGCGCCAATGTCGGCCTCCAGCGGCTTGTGCAGCGGCTCGATGCGCGCCAAGAACTCCACATTCAATGGCTCGAGCCTCAGGCTGGCTGTGGCCGGTGAGCGCCCTGCTCCGCAGAACCTTCCTCCACCCTCCCACACCTCCGTAATAGCGGGGGGCGCTTTGGCGACCCACTCCCGCCCCAGGGGTGATCATTTCCGGCGCCCCTGAGGTCAGCCCTGCGCTGTTGCTGCAGGCCGGCAGCTGGCGGCGGCGCCACGCTCCTCTGGCCGCAGCCTGGGCCTGGTGGCGGAGGCCAACCTGTTCAGCCGCGTGGCCCGCATCTTCAAGTCCTATGCCAACTCCGCACGTGAGCTGCTGGGCGGATCAGGATGCAGCATTTGGTGCACCATCGAAGACGCGCCGCCATCGGCCCAGCGGTGCCAGTAACTAGGCAGCCCTCTCACATTGCCTGCACCCCTGCCTTCCTCCCCCCTGCGCCTGTTTTTGTCTCCTCTGCAGTCAATGCGGCCGAGGACCCGGAGAAGATCCTGGATCAAGCGGTGACAGACATGCAGAGCGACCTGATCCGCCTGCGCCAGGCGGCGGCAGAGGTGCGGCAGCAGCCGTCCGTCGATGTGTCGACGTAGGGTTGGGGGCAGCGTTGGGTGGCCCGCAGCAGCAGCCTGGAGCAGGAGAGGCCGTATTTCCCTCATACTGCGCACATGCACCACCTCGGCTGGTTGCACGGCGCGGCAGCTATGATGTGCAGCTGCCATGCACGCCCGTTGCTGCCGCTTGTGTCCTCACTCCCGCCCGCCCCCACCCCCGCCCTCCACACCCCGCAGGTCACGGCCTCCCAGAAGCGGCTGCAGAACAAGTACGAGCTGGCGCAGAGCACGGCGGACGACTGGTACCGCCGTGCTGAGCTGGCGCTGGGCAAGGGCGACGAGGAGCTGGCCAAGGAGGCACTGTCCCGGCGGAAGGCCTTCCAGGTGTGCATGGCTGGTTGTGCACTGTGTGTGCGGTTGTCACACAAAGTGTGGCTGTGTGGGTACTTGTGTATGAGCGCTGCCACGACACGAGGCCTTCAGGGCGCGCGCTCAGTCTGGGTGCAGCTTCCTGTGGTCCCCTGGCCTGGCTGGTGGCCCTAGCTGCGTGCGTGTTGCCTCGGCCGTGCCTCACCCGCTGCAACCAGCCCGCCGCCAGCTTCCTCCACACCGCCGGTCGCTTTCTCTCCTTACGTTATCATCTCCTCCCTGTGCCCGTCTGCCCCTCCTCAGGACAACGCAGCCATGCTCAAGGGCCAGCTGGAGCAGCAGTCCAGGGCTGTGGACACCATCATCGGCAACATGCGGGTGCTGGAGAACAAGCTGGCGGAAGCCAAGATGAAGAAGGACACGCTCAAGGCGCGGGCGCAGAGCGCCAAGAGCGCGCGCGCCATCAACGACATGGTGGGTCGGCGGCCCTAGGGCTGCCGAGAGGGGGGGTGGAGGGAAGGGGAAGGGCCTGGGCTGGTGTGGGCTGGTGCGAGCGGTACGGGCTGACGGGAGGGAAGGGAGGCTGCGCAGTGTGGCAGGCTGCGTTGTGGGCTGGAATCGCTCGGGCACAGTGCCCGCTCCCGGGAAACCTGGAAAGCGCCAGGGCAGCCGTCCCGTGCTTGAGCACGCAAAACCGTCCCAGAACCGCGGGTGGTCTTGCGCATGCTCCACTCCGCCCGTACCCGTGCCGCTGCCGCTGCCGCAGGTGGCGGGGCTAGATACGAGCAGCGCGCTGGGCGCGTTTGAGCGCATGGAGGAGAAGGTGATGTCTCTGGAGGCGCAAGCAGAGGCGGCGCAGATGGTGAGCAGACGCACGTCTTTGGCCGTCTCATGCCTGCCTGCATGCATGCACATGCATGGCCTGCCGCCGGGATGGTGGAGGCTTGAATCGGCAGCAGCCGCAGCTCTGGGCATGCCAGACGTGCTGGGGGCTGGCTGTTGGCAGGCGGCAGCCAGGGCAGGCCCCCGCCCTGCGCAGCGCAGGCAGCAGCCCGGAGTGTGCCACGCAGCGTGCAGCAGTACCGGCGGGCGCTGATTGCGTCGATGGCCCCTCCTCGCCCCACGCATCCCTGCCTGCAGCTGGTGGCCCCCGACAGCATCGAGAACAAGTTCCGGGCGCTGGAGGGGTCTGACGTGGACGATGACCTGGCCAAGATGAAGGCGGCCCTGGGCAGCGGCAAGGTGGCGGGAGAGGTGGGCGCGGGAGGTCGGGGCTGGCTGGGGCCGTGGGCCGTGGCAGGGAGCAGCAGGGAGGGAAGAGGCCACGGCTGGATGGAGGGAGCGGTGGGCGCGGTGGGGGCTGGCAGGGTGCTGCGTGTTGGGGGGTGTGCATGCCCTGGTTGTGAAGGCCGGATGCAGGCAAGGGAACAAACAGCGGTGTCTGTACAGGAGGAACCTGCTACCCCCGCTCACCTGCTGTCTTGCACTCTGCCTTCCTGATGTGTGCAGCTGCCCCCAGGGCGCCCCCTGTCGGATGCTCTGGACTATGAGCTCAGCGACTTGAAGCGCAAGATGGGCAACGGCAACTGATTGGACGGCTCATGCGCCGGAACCTGGAAGAAAGAACGAGCGCTTGCCAGCCATCGTGTGGCTGCCGCCGCTGCCGCGCCGTGGCTGCTGCCGCCGCCGCCCCGGCAGCGGCAGCGGCTGTGGCGCTGGCGCGCTGCTCTTGTCCAGTCTCTTTGATGATTTCTGCTGCCCCACTCTCACCCAACCAACCTCTTCAACTGATTCCCCCAGTCCCCCTCCTTCTTGGATCGATTTGATTTCAATTTGAGTGCGCATTGTTTCTTCACAGATGCTCTTTTCGGTAGGGGTTACATGTACATCTGTAACCTTCAGAGCCAACACACGAAGTTACACGTGGCCCATCGCCAGATGCGCATCGCCGTGCATGCCCCGACCTCAGGCGATGACGCTGTCAATCAGGCCCAGAGCAATGGCCTGCTCGGGGCCCAAAAAGTTGTCGCGGTCTGCGGCAGGGGCCAGCCAGGGGCAGCAGGTGGGAGGCACGCAGGCGTGCCGGCAAGGGAGGCTGCCGCCGCCATCCCAGGGCCAGCCTAAGGCAGCGCACCAGCTGCCCTCCGCTGAGCAGCTCTTCCGCTCCTCCCCTGCCTGCCCCCCGCTGCCCTGCCGCTGCCCAATGCCCCCGCAACATCCCTCCCGCTGCCCAGCAGGCGGCGCTGCCCCCTCGGCAGCCGCCACCCATCCACGTGTCGCCCATCCGCGCGCCGCCCAGCTGCAGCCCGCAGCCCCGGCAGCCCGCCGCGCAAGCAGCCCGCCGACCCAGCAGCCCGCCGCCCCGGCAGGCGGCGCCACCATGTGCCACCATGTGCCGCCACCCACCGCACTCCATCTCCACAGTCTCCACGGGCAGGCCGGTGGCCTCAGACAGAAAGCGGTACATGACCCGCATGTTGCGGTTGAGCTCGGTGGCGGTGATGTTGCACTCGTCTGCGCGGCGGGGCATGTGGGGTGGCGGGGCTGGTGAGGTGGACGGAGGGAGGCGAGGAGGAGGGAGCCGGGGCATATGGGGCGGGCAGGGCGGTGAGGTGGAGGGAAGAGACGAGCAGGGAGGCGAGGAGGAGAAGGAGAGGAGGAGGGAGTGCCGCTGGAGGGGAGGAGCAGGGAGGGGAGAGGGTGCGAGGAGAAGGCATGGGGTCTCCGGTCCGCCAGCGCCGGCCTGGCAAGGGTCTGGAGCATCCAGGCCTGTGCCCCGCAGCCCAGGCGCAAAGCAACCAGCCCCGTACAAGCGACAGGCTACCACGCCGCCGCGCCTCGTGCCAGGCCGCCACCAAATGCAGGCGGCGAAGCAGCCGCCATGGCAGCGGCAGCCGCAGCCGCGGCGCACCCGCGGAGCCTTGCAAGCCGCCCATGGGCTGCTGCAGCAGGATGCGGGTGTTCTGCATGGAGAAGCGGCGGCCCTTGGCGCCCGCGGCCAGCACCGCGGTCGCGGTGCCGCCCACGATGCCAAAGGCGACCGTGGAGCCACGGGCGCCTTGATGGCGCGCATCGTGTCCAGGATTGACACCACGGCATAGGGAGAGCCCTGCAACAGGAGACGGCAGAGGCAGGAGGTGTGGGGGCAGGTGGCAAGGGCGGGCAGGGCAAGGGAGAAGGCAGGGCAGGAGGCAGCAGGAGGATGCAAAGCAGCAGGCGGCGGGGCAGAAGGGGGAGCCAGGGCACGCAGGTGTGAAGCCAGGCCGCCACGCGCAGCGGCCATCCAACTGAGCAGCAGCAGCGCGCGTGCCGCAACACATGCGGTGCCTGCGACAATTGTACCGCAGGCAGTTGATGTACCGTACTGCCGTACCTGCGGGCAGTTGATGTACATCTTGATCTCCTCCTCCTCGTTCAGGGAGTCGAGCGCCAGCAGGGAGGCCACCACCTGGCACGCCACCTGTCCACACAACACGCACGGGCAGCAGGGTGGGCGCGCGGGAGAGGCCAGGCGCCACGCGGGCGCGCAGCAGGCAGGCAAACGACATCGCGCCAGCCGCACATCGCAACAGCTGCCATCCTCCAAGATTTCTACGGAGCCAGGCCCCCGCGGCTCAGGCCTGCACCCACGGCTCACACAGGCGGCGCAGGCGAAGGCCCGAGGACGCATACCCGCAGGCTGCCATCACCTGGTCGCTGATGCGCTGGTTGAGGAAGATGATGCGGTTGCGCAGCAGGTAGCCGTATAGGTCCACCACATCCTGCAGGCGTGGTGGGGCGTTTGTGGTGTGTGGTATGTGGGTGTGGGTGTGCAGGCGTGGGCCAGGTGGGCGGCAGGCCGCAGGGCGGCAGGCAAGCGACCGTGGTGGTGGGCTGGGGCCCGGTTGTGGCTGGTGTGCCAGTAAAGGCACGGCGGGGGCAGCGCGTGCGTGTGTGTGGCACGCCGCACCTCGCCGCCGGGGCCCATCTGGATGACGGGGGCCAGGATGGGGTCGCGCTCGCGCCGCGCGCACACGGGCGGCAGCCTGCAAGCTGCTCTGCCGCCGCCGCCGCTGCCGCTGCTGCTGCTGCGGGCCAGGCTGCCGCCCAGGCTGCCGCAGCTGCGTGGCGGCGCCGCCACCGCGTGGCGGGCGGGAGGCCGCTGCTGCTGGTGGACCTGCTGCGCGGTAATTTGAGGCTGTGCGAGTGCCTGCATGATGCACGGATGCTGCTGGGGGCTTGCCAGCGGCAGGGGGTTCAGGGCGAGGAGATCGGTGGGTGGGTGGTTCAAGCGGGCAGCGAGACCCCTGGAGCGATTCGCACGCCGACCAAGATTGCTGGGGATGCTGCGATGGGCGCCGAAACGAAGAAGTGGGGCCACCAGGGAATGGATGACGGGGACTAGCGGTGGAAACTCGGCCAGCAGGTCGTGCATGTTTGCGCGTGAGGCTTCCCTTTGGCTCTGAGCATCAGCAGCACCTGCCCGGGAGGTTGCTTGTGGAGACAAGTGTGGGCAGCGATGCAGGCACTCACCCTCACAGCAGCGCGGCCCGTTGGCCTCAAGGCGGTTTCCCTTAGCAGCGCACGGTCTATAGTGGCGGTGAGGAACGCAATGCGCAACGCCCGGTGGTGGGCCCGCCCTCTGGGGTGTGCTGCCAACCTCCCCCGCCGCCTGTTGCTGGCGTTTCTGCCCACCGCATGCCCACTGGACCGCACGGTTCTGCAACCCGCCCCGCTCCGCGCAGGCCCCCCTGGTGGCGGCGCCCCGCATGGCGGCGCCCGCCGCCCGCAGCAGCCTGCTGTCGCAGACGGTGGTGGCCAAGGCCGCAGCAGCAGCAGCGCAGGAGGCGGCCACTGAGGCGGTGGCCCACCTGCGGTTCATCCGCGGCTCGCCCCTCAAGGTGCGCTTTTTGGATGCGGGCGCGCGGCTCGTGGCGGCACCAGGCCTGCCCCTTGCGTGGCACAGCTAGGGGCAACGTGCAGGCAGTGGGCATGTTGTCATGACAAAGACAGGCAGCCCTCGTTGCAGCAGCGGGCATGGGCTGCCTCGCCAGCCAGCCAGGCGACATGCGTGCGCTGCCGCTTCGCTTGCGCTGATGCTGGCTGTCGGCACTCCTTGCTGCTGCTGCCATACCCAGCCGCCCAGGCCCACGCTGCCATGCCCTCGCCTGCGCCCCCTGCAGGTGCGCCGCGTGCTGGACCAGATCCGCGGCCGCAGCTACGAGGAAGCCATCATGATTCTGGAGTACATGCCGTACAAGGTGCGGAGGCATGGGGATTGACAGCAGCGCGCGCAGGCTTGAACTGCGCCGCGCCGCGGGAGCCCGCCGCGCAAACGGCTGGGCAGCTATTTTTGCATGATATATGTTGGTCACGCCGGCCCATGCCGCCTCCACTCTTCTTCTTTGAGGTGCATGGGGCGCTGCACATGTGCCAGCGTGTGCTGTGCCTCTGCCGGCGCTGCAAAACAGACACTTGATCGGCCTCGTTCCCCGCGTGCCCCGCCCCTGCTCAGGCCTGTGAGCCGGTGCTCAAGACGCTGCTGTCAGCAGCCGCCAACGCGAAGCAGAACCTGGGCATGCGCAAGGCCAAGCTGGTGGTCAGCGAGTGCTTTGCCGACGAGGGGCCGGTGCTGAAGCGGGCGCGGCCGCGCGCCCAGGTGCGCACGTGGCAGCTGTTGTGGGGGGGCGCGGCGGCGCAGAGACCTAGGGGGCGGGGGCCGCGGTAGAAGGACAGAGGGAGGCACGCTTGTTGGGGGTCTGGTGCGTGGGAATGCAAGCCGCAGCCGGTGCACCGACGGTTGGCTGGCGCCTGGATCCCTCCCGTCGCGCCGCAGCCGTGCCCCACCAGCTTGCGAGCCCTCTGATCTCCCCCCGCCTCGCCGCCCCCCGGTGCTCTGAAACGCAGGGCCGTGCCTACCAGATCAGGAAGCCCATGGTGCACATCACTGTCAAGGTGGCCGAGAACGATGCGTGAGGGCTGCCTGCCCTCCTCCGACTGTTTGCGAGCTCCGGCGGCCCGCCACCAGTGGCCCAGACGCGCAGTTTCAGCTATACCTAGGCCCCCTGCAATTTTGCTTGTCCCCCCTTCTTCGTCATCTTGTGTGCTGGTCATGTTAGTAAGCACCTGCGGTTCCCGAACAGGGCAGTAGAAATTGGGCGGCGGCAGAGAGGAAGCCAGTGGCGGCGGTGGAGTGGTGAGGTGGGGCACATTCAGCTGCCCGGTTGGCGCTTCCACATACGCTATTTGGAATAGGTGTGGCGGACCGATAACACCACGAAAACGCATTGAGGCAGGCAAGCAGGCAGGCAGGCAGGCACGCTGGAAGGCAGGCAGGGAGCAGCAGCCACAGGAAGCAGCAGCAGCCACAGGCAGGCAGGCGCCACAGGCAGGCAGGCCGCAAGCAGGCACCGTCAGGCAGGCACAGGCAGGCGGGCACAGGTAGGCAGGCAGGCAGCCGCCACAACCAGGGAGGAAAATACCCACCTGCAGGCACCAGGACCTGTTCTTGAGCCCCTCCTAACTCTTTCTGCGCCAGAGCCATGCCGCGTCGCCGCCTTTGCATGCCGCCTGGCTTAGCGCTTGAGTAATGGCACAGCCGACCACCGCGGCAGGCCACTTTGCACTCCTGCCTGCAATGCATGCACCCTTACATGAGCAGCCTTCTGGTATTTTCATGTGCCTGGGAGATGTGCGGGCATGGGGGCCCGTGTGCCCCATGCCATTTGAGTGCCCGGCGGCGGCGCTGCCTGCCGCCGGGAGCCCGCACCAGCATCGGCACCCGTCGGCCTGGCAGGCCTAAGCTGCTAAGGATCCCCACGTCCCCCACCACGTTGTGGGGGTTGCGTGTCCGGCAGGACGGGGAGCGGGGCCAAGGGTGGGGTGACCCTGGGACGCTCAGCTGGGGGGAGGGTGGTCGGAGCCATGGAGAGGGTGCTCCATGGTCCACCCCCTCTCTTGATGCCCCTTGATCACGTGTGCCCCCTGCCCAGGGTCTGCTCACGCGGCCTATCATAGCGGGGTGACTGTAACACCCAGCGCTGGCAGACCGTCACTGCCGTGCTGCATCTGGACTGTCCTGCCTGTTTCCCTGTCGCTGTATCCCTCCGTTCCCATTTTGTTCTGTTGGGTTCCTGTTTCGGCGGGGCGGCAGAAGCTGCTGGCGGCGGCGGTGGAAGCCGGGGGCTGTCACCATCGCCGCCCGGTGTCGCTTTCTCATTGATCATTTGGGTAGGTGCTGGCCGTACCGATAACACCACGAAAACGCATGAGCACGGCAGCAGGGCAGTAGGATACCACGGTCTGTCCACCGTAAGGTACGTTCTCGCCTGCCATACTGCCTAGGTTGGCGCATGCAGCCGAATTAGGTGCGTCCAAGCAAAAAACTTGATGCATGGTACTTGCAAGCCACGTCATGGCCGCCTACAGGTGACGGTCATCACCGTTTGCATCCCACGCATTTAGGTTCCTTCTTTCTGATTCCATTCGCAAAGCGTTCTGCGTTGTTTACGAGGCGCTGCAGCATATTCCAGTCCTGGCGTCCCTTTCACGTGTATTTACACTTCCCCGCTTTGCATGGATCATGAGGTGGGGGGCGCTCAGAGATATGAGCGCAGGGGCGGAGGGGTGGCTGGTGGGCGGGCCTCGCGGGGCGCGGCACTGCGTGCGCACCAGGCGCCCGGCGGCAGCCGCCGCCGCGGCGGCCCACCTGTGTGGGAAGTGTGTGAGTAGCTTTGAGTTGGAGTGCCGGCCTGACCTGCGCACGACGTGTTTCTTCAATGCTAATCCCCTCCAGGAGTCCGGTGGTTCAAAGCCCGGTCGCCATTTACTGCGCCACCAGCTTACGCCCGCCGCCGCAGCTGCAGCGGCAGCCGCGTTCGGCACCAGTGATCCGCTCGCAGCGGCCGAGCATATATGGACGCTCAGGTTTGTGTTGGTGTGATGGCTAGACACTCGTGCTGCGGTCGTGGGGTGCATGGCACCCCACACGCGCTGCGCAGCGCATGTGCGTTTCCACACCGGTGGTACCAGGCAGCTGCCTCGCCGCGCCGTGCTCCGCCTCTCAACTCCGGGACCCGCCCTGCCTGACATTCAGGCAGCCCGACCTGCGGGCCATGTTCCTGCGCATCTTCGGAACCCCCACCTCCAGCGGGAACAACGGTGAGCCCATGCAGTGCACTGCAGGCTGGGGCAGGCGTGGCTCATGACGGCTCTGTGCCACCATCAGCGGCGGGTGTGCATCAGCCAACGGACATGCCCCACACAACCACCCACCCACATGAACTAAACTGCCTGTGCAAGTCTGCGAAACCCACCCGCAGACTGGATGCGCGGCAAGCTGCTCCAGGCAGTGGGCCTGGATGCGCGGTGGCGCCCCCCAGCGCACCATGACCGCACCGGCCATGCCAGCGATGCCTCCGTCGCACCCGGCAGCAGCAGCGACGCCGCGGCGGCGCGGCGCCACAGCACGCGGCAGCGGCGGCGGCCGCCGCAGCTGCAGGGCTTGAGCGACGACGACGACGGCGGCGACAGCCCGCCTCGCTCTCGCTCCTCCAAAAGGAAAGCAGCGGTGGCCGCGACAGTCTCGCCCGCAGACAGCAGCAAGCGCCCCAGGGCCACGCCCACCACCACGGCGGCGACGACCGCGGCAGCGCCGGCACCCCTGCCGCCGCCGGCCTACCAGCTGCCTGCGCACCCGCCGGTCGTGGTGGTGGTGGTCCCGCCCGATGGCCAGATGCCGGCATGGGCAGGTGGCTCACCTTCTGCAGCGACGGCGGCAGGGAATGAGCTGGCCTCGGAGCACTATGTACGTTCCATCCAGCTCGCCCTGCCGAGTCACTTGGAGCAGGGGTCTGGCGGCGCCAGCATGATGGCCATGGCGGCGCTTCAGGCTCTGGGCTACCTGCCGCCGCAGCCCGGCGTTGCTTTGGAGTACAGCCAGTACAGCCAGCAGGTGGGCGGCAGGAGCGGGCGTGAGCAGGCGCCGGCGCCGCCTCCCTCCTGGCAAGAGCATGTCGTGCCCGCCCCGCCCAGGCGCGAAGCGCTGGCATCGCCGCCGCCAGGATCGCCCTCTGGCCAGGCAGCCATGCGAGAGATCATGCGGGCTGTGTGGGCAGCGCAGCAGCAGCAAATGCAGCAGCAGCAGCAGCAGCAGCGACAGCAGGCTGCTGGCGCCGGCGATGGCACGCCGGCATGTTGGCATGGGAACGCCAAGCCCGGCACGGTAGCGGCGGCTGACTGAGTAATGGCACAGCCGACCGCCGCGGCAGGCCACTTTGCACTCCTGCCTGCAATGCATGCACCCTTACATGTGCAGCCTTCTGGTATTTTCATGTGCCTGG